AAAGCAGCCCAAGAACCCTGTTAGACCCTAGAGGGGGGTGATTAGGGTCTTATGCTAATCTAATCCGATTATATGCCAATAAAAACTAATAACAAGTTATCCTAGTAAGTATGAAATATAACAACTATATAAGCTAGGATAAGCAATATGAACAATGAGATATATCCTATATGATGAATATATATATGCAAGGATATATAAACTAACACAAGATGATATATCCTATATGATGAATATATATATATATGCAAGGATATATAAACTAACACAAGATGATATATCCTACCAAAGAGATATACAATATGATATATGTATATGCAAGGATATAAAACTAACACAAGGGTAAATAAAATAAAACAAGATAGTGGATGATATAAATAATGAGACAATGGCGAAATGAGCAATGAGCACATAGTGGATGATATAAATAATGAGACAATGGCGAAATGAGCAATGAGCACAAATAAGAATAAACGCCAAAATACACTCAAACACGATCAAATGATCACGGAGTTCGGACCTTCCGTCCTACGTCTCCGCTCCCCACTCCCGGGGAGAAATCCACTATCACAACCGGGTTTTCTACGTTCACCCGAATAACGTTTACACCACATAATATGGTTTTCTAGTTTACCGAAAACTCTACAACTAACACACTCTTGTAATTCCACTCTACACCCTCTCAAGTGTTGAACTAGACGTGTCTCCCTCAAGTGCTCGGTTACAACCTCTCTCTAGGTTCGTCAACCGACGCCACTCCTCTTGGGATGATCTCCGACTCTCTCCACACACTTCTCTCGGTGTACAAGTGTATTACAAAATGATCTCACAATAAGCACAATATAAATCAAATGATTGTTCTCTAAACAAGGTGAGAACTCAATTAAGCACAACTCTTAGTCACAAACCCACGACCCCAAATTATACTATGAATGTAAATACAATAAGCTCAAAGGTTGTGTGTGAACAAAGAGATATAAATCAAAACTAAACTCAATGTAGTTCTAGCTTAATAACAATGATAATCAAATATATAAAAGAGCTAGAAATAGAGTTTAGAAAACTTCTCAATAGATCAAGAGGTGGAGGGAGAATAGTTGGAAGCTCAAACATTAATAGATGATCTCCTCAAGCTCTTGTGAAATTGATTTCTCAAACTCAAACTCTCAAATGCTTAAAAGCTTCTTAAAACATACAAAAACTTAAACCCTTCTTTGAAACTTTCTTAAACTTGTTTAAAACATTCTTGGATGGTTCTAAGTGTTGAGGGATGATGGGTATTTATAAGAACTCAAGACAACAACCCAAAGCCAAAGAAAAGCCCAAAAAACAAGGCAAATCCCCAAAAAATCAGAATCAGGAAAAAAAGAGCCGTTGGGCAACGGTAACCAACAGAGAGTTTGGCGGTCGACCGTGGCGGTCGACCGCGGGTACTGTAGTAGTGCGTATCAGTTTTGTAAAATTAATTAAAAATAGTAACACAGTTTCAAAAATTATGAAATTTTGTGGGAAGGTTCTAGACATATATAATAATATGTTAGAGAAAGAATTTCGGAAAAATCATTTCCCAGTTGAGAGAAATAAATATTTGAACACAGATTTATAGTTTCTGAAAAACTGCAGACATACACGATTTTGTAAAATCAATTGGGCATAGTAAATCAACTCCAAAAATAGTAAAGTTTTGAGGGAAGTTTCTAAACATGTAGATAAACATGTCAAAGAAGGAATTTCTTGAATACTATTTCCCATTTATGAAAACTCATCTGTTTTGTAAAACATGCACGAACATATGCACGAACAAAAAACATGATTTTGTAAATTCCATTAAACATAACAAATCAATTCCAAACTTGATGAAACTTTGTGAAATGTTTATAAACATGAAAACAAACATGTTAGAAAAAGAATTTCTTAAATTAAATTTCTATTTGTGAAAACTCTTGTATTTTGTAAGTGTGTCCAAAACATAAAAATCCAAAACCATGCATGTATATATATAACTATATATATACATAGAAACCAAATACGTGTGTGTATATGATATTGAGCTTAAGGTACTTAACACACATAATATAAAACCTAAACTAGATTACCCAAGCCGATCTTGATCTTCAATAAGCTTGACTTGGTATACTATGCGGATGAAGCTTGAACTTGATCTTTAACTTTGAATAGCGTAGGCTTCTCTCCACAATTCCGCCAACCTCCATTTGATATCGTCGTTGAAGCGCTATTCCATCCATCCTCCAACTAGTTTTTTTGCCTAGAATAAATATGAAAACACAGACACTAGACAAACAACATTAGTCGTAAATTGTTTGTTAAACATCATCAAAACAAGAAGGCCAACAAACCCGTTATCACTAAACTAATGTGAAGCATTGGTCGACTGATAACATGCACAAAAAACTACACAAAACTTCATCAGTCGATTGATCAGATCATCAGTCGACTGAACGAGCTCATCAGTCAACTGATCGCCTATCAGTCAACTAAGAATAAAAGAAATCACAATTCCAGGGCATTTCATCGGTCGACGGATGTCTGTTATAAGTCGACTGATGACACTGTTCACTAAAAACCTAATTTTTCAACACTAATCGCCTTTAATTTAGTCATCCTCGCGTATATAAGGCTTGGATACAAAAGATAAATAGTTGTGTCTCTATTGTTATTTGGCTAGGAATATAAGAAACCTCTATTCATTTAAAATTTGCAAATTTGAGTTTGAATTTCTCTTTAAATTTCTTCGAACTAGATTCACATACAAATATCTACCGAATATTAATGAATATTATAATCCATTTATTTTACTAATATTATATATTTTATCAATATTAAATATTTAATTATAAAGAAATATTTATTTGATTAAAAGGATATTTTCATTTGGATGAAAATTTTGATTTTGAAATAGCAATTAAATGCACAGTTGTAAACTAAATCATTATCTTGAATATTTGGTTGACAAAAATGACTTTAGACTTTTAAGTATATCAGATTTAGCGTAGAAATTATACTAGAAATTGTAAGAAGGATTAAAACAAAACATGATTTTCACATGAATCATAAGACGTTGAATTTGAAACGAATATTTGATAAACAAATGAATCAAATAAATAAATGTTCATATTTGATTCATGTAATGTCCAAATATTAGAATATTTGATTCCTCTAATTTTCTGTTAAAATGAATAATTAGATGATTAATAATTGAATTATTTGATAATTACCCCTTACTCACATAGATCTATATGAGGTCCATCCGCGCACATAATACTAAAATCATACTTTAGATGTTGAAACTAATGAAGATGTGCAGGACAACAATGCGTTTATTATATTTGAATGTAGAAATTGCAGTGTATTTATAGTGTGACTTTTGGCTTGACGGTATCAGACAGAAACAGGGGTGCAAGAAAAGAAAATTATGCATATGCAGATATTCCTTTATTTGTATTCGTGGATCAGAATACGATTATGGTTACTAAATATCTATATTTTATTGGATATGATATAGACATGTATTTGTAGTGAAATATCTGGATCAATATGCTAACTACAATATATTGATCATACAATTGCAGTTATCTTAATCTATAGATCAATGGATTTGAGGTTAATTTTGATGATCCAGAGATCTAATTTTAGCATTTCAAATATAACTAACATATTAATGGACTCTAATATATAACATGACCAATATTTTTCAATCTTATTTGATTTTTTTCATATCCATTTTGTATCGGCTAGTTCATTAGCATTTACTTTCTCTAATTTAATTAATCAATATATGTATCTAATTTTCGTGGATATGAAAATAGTTTTTTGTATGAGATATATTCGTATTCATATTAGTATCTATGATTGGTAAGTAGATATTGATATCATGCATGCTTATCATATCTGAGCCCAGTAGCGCTCCTGTCAGAATCACCCTATATGAGTAGGGTGGTTTACACCATTGATTGAATAGCCATAATTCATAATTTAACCCTCTAATCACCAGCATATGAATAGCCATCATTCTATTATAGAGAGTGTTCTGATAGAATCCTTACTCACATGAGTAGTAGCCCTAGGTAGGAAACATGCAGTGGTTTTGATTAACTGTACAACCCCCCAACCAAAAACAAAAAACCCAAAAAAAAAACCCTTAATAATATAAATCATACTATAAATATTAGGGATTTGCCATATTGTTCCCTTAAATCTATCATATTTTGAAATTGCTCCCTCAAATCATGGAAATTGCTAGTAGATCTCTCAATTCTTAGCTTATTTGAAATAAGCCCTTAAATGTTCCTATTAGGTTCCTTGGTCCTTAACTTATTTTAAAATTAACCCCTCAAATCAAGAGTAGAAGTAACAATTCGAGGGATTACCAAGTAAAATCTATTGTTGTGGACTGTTAGCTCCTCCTATTCTCATAATCTTTTTTCATATTTAATCTCTCCAATCTCTATTTATATTCTTGAGTTGATGGACTAATTTAAAATTAAGTCAAAAACTGAGGGACCTAATAACAATTTTCATGATTTGAGGGACTAATTCAAAATATGAAAGGTTTAAGGAACTAACATAGTGAATCAATTATGGAACAATTTCTTAAATAAATCAATATCTTTGGTTCAGGGTTTAGCCTTTTTATGGATCCCTTCCCGAAATTCCTAGCTTGTCTTTTTGGGTTTGGTGAGAGAACTTTCCCGCAATCTTTTGGACCATGGGTATCAAACCCTCAGGCGTGACTATGATGCATTCCCCAACACACGGCCTCGAATATTCTATGAAATTATATTCATGTATATGCTCTCGAGAAAAGTTAAATTCCAGACCTTGAAATACTAGTCATAGCAAGCCTACCTACCCGGTTAGACCCTTTGAGTACGAAATTTCTGCCGTCGTCACTTGTGGAAGATTTTCAAAGTCTATTTTGAATTGATAAATCGCGGTTATAACAGGCTGGGCCAATTAAAGTTTTGATAGCCCATAACTTATGTTCTTCCAAAGCCAGCAACATGAGATATATTTTATAATTTCTTTAATAACGAAGACGACAAAGATAAAAAAGAAGAGATTATATACAATTTAATCAACCCAAACCCATGTGGTTGCTTAAGCAGGAGTGCCGGTATGTATGTACATAAGAAATACAAAATTGAAATCGTAAAGAAAAGGTCGTTATAATTAAATCTCTGCTTGCTTTCAATAATACCGAAGGTATTTATCCGTGTACGTATCTTCAGAAGTGATGGGAGTTGGAAGTTTCTTCAATCTCCAATCTCTCCTAGACCTTGATATCCTTTAATTTTACCTGCAAAATATAGTGGGGGTTCGTTTAGCTAATTATATTAATCACAAATGACCAATCATTAGTACTATATTGTAAATCACTTATTTATTAACGTGCCAGATTAGTTACTAAGAAAGGGTAAATTGCATAACACCCAGACACTTTCAGCATTTTGTAAATAGACCCCCAATAATTTCTAAAATCGCACTAAACCACTAATAACTATTGGAATTGTAGAAAACTCCCATTCAACTTTTCTATTTTGCAAATAACCCCCATGACATCGTCAGTCCACAAATAGGATATAAGTGTGTTGCCAAGGCAAAATGTGGATTGATGCTGTCATGAAAGTTATTTGCAAAATACAAAAACTTATTAGGGGTTTTCTGCAATAACAATAGTACTTGGGTGTTTAGTGTCATTTTCAAAGTTATTGCAGTTTTACTGCAAAATGCTGAAGGTTCTCTGGGGTTTAATGTAATCTACCCTTAATAGAATACTAGTTGATAAGATATCTTAACATGGAGTTGCTAGATTGGTCCACAATCATATATTGAAGATAAATAGGGGAACTCGCTTATCTGTGACGAAATTGGTCATTGGTTGGTGGATAATTGGGATAAATTTTAGGATAGTGCTTTTTGGTGTTATTAGTCGGGATAATACCTTTTGGTGTTATTGATTATGTGGGAGACTAGTGGGATAATTTATCCCTAATTACCCCACATGGGATAAATTATCCCACTCTTATGGAAATTTTTTTCCCACAAGATAAAATTTACCCCAATTCTCACAATGGAACAATTTGAAATGAGTGAGATAATTTTGCAACATTCATATATTAACTACATATAATATATGTGCTAATCATATTAACTAAATATAAAATGATTATATAATTAATATCATTATACTTATTTTTAATATAGTATACTAACTATAATGTAATGTATTAAATTTTCATATTATATTATATTTGTTATAATATATTATAATATAATAGAATATAAGATGTAATTGTTGATGTATGATATCAAACAGTAAAATGGAAGGAATAGTTAAGTTGACAGAGGTACTCTAACCCTCAGAATGTCTGGTTCTCAAGTAAGTTGTTCTTCCTTGCACAAGAAGCAAATCGTAAGAGGACATGGTTGAATTCCCTGATTGTTCCTCCGACAATTAAGTCAGTGAGTTGCTTGAGTGAAAAAGTTAAAATGAACTATAGTAGTTCTTAAACACAGTCAGTAGTGAGGAAGATCATCCCCATTATTAAAAATAGTACACCTATTTATAGTGGTGACAAAAGGGTAGATTGATAACTTCGGCCGAGTATGGGATGACGACCACGTCAGCCTCTTCGCTACATGTGTTGGCCGACGAGTGGAGGAGAGATCACTTTGGTATTTAATGCAAAGTGATTAGGGGTGTACGTTACTGACGCAGTCCGATGTGTCATAAAGACTATTGGGGCAGAGGAATGATGACACCCATAATACATTTAATGACATTTTATTGGAGGTGATTGGTTGCTAGTGCACGGGAAGGGATTCGTGGCTTGAGGAAATTTATCGCCTTCCTACTCGTCTGGAGGTCGATTACTACTGCCTTTCGAGTTGCCTTCACGAGATGTTGTCCCAATGGTCGAGCGATGAGGTCGATAGGGAGTCGACCAAGCCAACCAAGCCTCGGGTCGACATGCAGCACCTCTCCAGTCATCCTCGCGAGACGTCAGCATGTCGATTCGTCTAGGCTAGGCCTTGGGTTATCTTGAAGTGAGGAACATGGCTTGATTATGTATAATGTGGGATACTTGTCTACTCTAGATTGGAGATTTCTTATCAGGACTAGAATGGCTATAATAGTTATATTATGTTTTACTGAGCTTATTACTATAATTTGACATATCAAATAAAAGTAATATATAACATTATAATATAGTATAATATGATAAATATAAAATGATTATATAATTAATATCATTAAACTTAATTTTATCGTATTATATTAATATATTAAAATTTATATTATATTATATTTATTATAATATAATATTTTACAACATAATATATATATTATTATAATATTATTTATTATAATATTATATAATATAATATGTTATATTATATTCTACTAAGCATATTAATATAAGATGACATATTAATTGAAAGTAATATATAATATTATTGTATATTGTAATGTAATAAATTACATATTTATTATGATGTATATATTACAGTAAAATATATTTTATCATTTATAATATAATAAAAATAACATATAATTGATTATGTCGTAATATATTATAGTACCATATATTAAACAATAATAAATATAATAATTATAATACACTATACTATGC